ATGAACTATTTATAAGTTGACATGTGTGATTAGAATTTCTAATAATGGTTTTATAATCTCTCATATGAGAGACTCAAATCCCTCTCTCTTCTACATCTCATATTTTTTTTTTTATTCTTAAAAGATTTCATGAAAATCTTCCATTGGAGTTTCTCTAAGTTTTATATTAAGTGAGATTTTTTATTTTATTTTTCTTTAGATGTTATTTTTAAATAAATGAATACATGACAGATGTTGACAAAAACAAAAATGATATACTCATGACAGACTTGACAGTTCAACTACAGTTGTTTCGGGGTAATGTATGCAGTATGTACAGAACAAAATTGTCAATAATTTCGTGGTTTAATAAAGAACAAAATAAAATAAATCTTCCACCCGTAAAAGCGCATGTCGTTTTGGAGGCGACGAGTCCATTGGAAAACGGCACGTAGTTTTACATCTTCAAAATAACGAGTAACAAATCTGGCCCATAAACCTAACACAATTATAGGACTTGGGCCCAAAATGTAATTAAGAGATATAATAAGAGTGTCAGTCGTATTTACCACTAAGAATCTAACACGTGTCATGTACATCAGACGGTCATCAATGCTCTGATCAATCAGTTCTTCTTCTTTAATGGCTTCAAAGAGTCTTTTTAGTTTACGGAAATTTCTAGAGCTTCGCAAGCTTCTTCAATGGCGAATCTTCCCACTGTTCTCGTTACTGGTGCTAGTGGAAGAACAGGTACTCACTTTTCCATTTCATTTCTTCCGATTTTGATTCTTAGCTCTCTTTGGCTCTGTTAGGTTAGCTAAAGCGTAATCCATAGGAGATTCTGTAGGGTTCTTCTAGGGTTAGTGATGTTATTGTTGATTATAGTCGAAGCTTACGATCCAAACATTTGACACTTCTCATTAGCTGTTCGTTGGATTCAAAGCTCTAAATTATCGTAGTGTATGCATGTGATGATCAATCGATCGAATCTGGAAGTTTAGCTATTGTTCTGGAATGCTATTTGTTTTCATGAAGTTTGGAGAGACGATGTAGCTTCTTCATGGGATTTAAATTTGTGGGTTTTTTTGATAGGGCAAATTGTTTACAAGAAGCTGAAGGAGAGTTCAGATAAGTATGTGGCAAGGGGATTAGCTAGAACTCCTGAAGGAAAAGAGAAAATTGGTGGAGGAGATGATGTTTTCATTGGGGATATAAGGGATGTTGATAGTATTAACCCTGCGATTCAAGGGATCGATGCGCTTGTGATCCTCACTAGCGCTGTGCCCAAAATGAAACCTGGTTTTGATCCCACTAAAGGTGGAAGACCTGAGTTTATTTTCGAAGATGGACAATATCCTGAACAGGTAAATTACTAAGAACATGTAAATCTTCAGCTTGATTTGTGTTTATTATTGCAGTGTAACACAAAATGTGTTTTTTTGTGTGTAGGTTGATTGGATTGGCCAGAAGAATCAAATAGATGCTGGTAGGTTTTGCTTTTCTTTTCATTTCGTCGTCCATTGTTTCTTGCATTTTTATTTGTTAATTTGGTGAGCTTCTATGAACAGCCAAGGCTGCTGGTGTTAAGCACATTGTCTTGGTTGGTTCCATGGGTGGAACAAATCCGGATCATCCTTTGAACAAACTGGGAAATGGGAATATACTGGTTGGTGAAAATTTCTCTGTTTTTTTTCTTTCGTTCATTCCAATGTGAGTTTGGTTTCTTACATTGCGAGCAACATTTGGCTTACGAGGCTACCTTTTGTGGGTTCAGGTCTGGAAGAGAAAAGCTGAGCAGTACCTTGCTGATTCGGGAACTCCTTACACCATAATCAGGTTAAACAAATGCTTTATAATGCTTCTAGTTTAACTTCAGCACTCTTATTACCACATCGGAATTCACTTCAAATTCTGTAGCTTAAAAGACTCAGTTACTTGTGTCCTGTTCTTACTTGATTATGTATATTCTTGTGTTTGATGAACTTAGAGCTGGAGGACTTCTAGATAAGGAAGGCGGTGCACGAGAGCTGGTAGTTGGCAAAGACGATGAGCTTCTTCAGACAGAAACAAAAACCGTCCCTAGGGCTGATGTTGCAGAAGTCTGCATTCAGGTTTGCTCACCAGCATTTTTATATCGCGCATTCTCTCTCTCTTCTTGAGTTCTTCAATTTGTTCTTTGTATCCGGTCACGATCTTTCTTCTTTTTTACGAATACAGGCATTGTTGTTCGAGGAAGCTAAGTTTAAAGCTTTCGATCTCGGCTCAAAACCAGAGGGCACCAGTAGTCCGACCAAAGACTTTAAGGCTCTCTTCTCTCAAGTCACCTCTCGTTTTTAAAAACCTTTCATTTTTTGTTGCAAATGAATCATTTGGGATGTATCAACAGATTCAAACCATAAAAAAATAAAAATCTCAGGGTTCAATATGATAATAGTCCGTAATACTATTATCATAAAAATCATTGAATTTGGTCACTTTCTTTTAATTCGTATGGGCCAAAATGATTGAACATTTAAATTACGGGGAACATTTAAATTACGGGGAACATTTGTGATTTAGCAAAAATACTGGGCAAAATTTAGAGTTTCCTTTTTCTATCACCCGCTTCATTTGCCTCTTTCTATCGCCACATGAACCAGAGAGATCGATTTGCTCACTTCCGATATCGTTTCGGATTTTTCTTCTTTATCGAAACCCTAGCTCTCGGTGGCGTCTTCAACTGAAGCTACGATGATGACGATGAGAGCAATCAATGGTTGCTCCATCTTCCGCTCCGCCACTTCCGGCGGCGGTCCTCCCGTTTCCCTATTTCGCCACCGTATTCAGCGACTTAGAGCGTCTCATCTCCGGGAATTCTCGAAATTAGGGTTAGGTTTTCCACTACTCCGGTCGAATAAGCGGTTTCTCGGACAGACTAGCGGTGGTGATGCTCTGAGCTGCTCGTCTTGCATTCATAGTCTGGTAGAAAGTGTTTCCGAAGAGCTCGAATCCATCAGAAGGCGCAAGGGAAGCCGAATCATAGTTCGTGCCAGTGTGAAGTACGTTTCTGTATCCTTTCTTTATTATGAGCAAAAACAAAATTGCTGGAATTGGATGCTTCCAAAGTTGAAATAGAATTCGAAAATTGAAAGAGATTGATGATAATTCACTGATTTTTCTTGCTTTAGTGCTTTGTTCCGGTGTGGGTTAGTTCATTGTGTAATTAGGTGAACCTGTAGGGTGAAATTAACAAGCTACGGAGAGGTTTTGGAGGATAAGCTAGTGAACCAGGAGCTAGAGGCGGGTTTGCTTCTGGAGTTTAAGAAGGACGCAGAAAGGGTATTGTTGGCAGTTGCTCATAGACGTGATGGGAAGAAGAACTGGATGGTCTTTGATCAGGTTTCACTTTGAAATAGATTTACTCGTAGTGCAGTGCTTGCAGATTGTTAAACTTATAGAAGAAACTTTGATGGTGCAGAATGGTGTTAGTTGTTCCATCAAACCGCAGCAAATTACGTATATCGTCCCGGGTGTTCATAATTTTGACCATACAGAACTTACTGATTTTCTCCAGAGGGCGCAGGATAACTTGGTATGTAATGACATTGTAAAATGTTTCGAAAGCGTTTCTGGGAATTTTAGTCTAAGATGAGGTTGTGACTTGTGATGTTACCCGTAAATGAGCTTCTAGTTATTATTTCGATGCAGGATCCTCAGCTGCTTGAGTTTGCTTGGAACGAGTTACTTGAGAAGAACAAACCTGTGACGCCAGAAGAATTAGCAGAGGTACCATGTATTTGAGTAAATGCAGTGGTTGAGCCCGTGGTTTGACATTGCTTTTGAACTTGCAGATTATTTATGGTCGCTCAGATCCTCTCGAAAGCTATTGTGCTCATTTTTTGCTATCGAAAGACGAGATATACTTTTCTGTCATGGAGTCAAAAGGTTCTCGATCAATATATAGTCCCCGGCGTACTGAACAGGTATTTCTTGTTCCTTTTTCCGCCCTGTATTTGTAGGTTCATTTATGTCACTTGAAGGGTGTTCTCCGTAGCTTTCTGTTCTTGGTAGTGTAAGAATTCCAATCCTTAGATTCTCTGTGGTTCATCTATGTCACTTTATTTGTTCCATGAATTTGTGAAATCAAGTAAAATAATTCTCTGTGGATGAAATTTGTCACCATTCTTGGAGAAAATGGCTGAGCGATCAGGCTTGATGATATGTGATTAATGCAAAGAGATCTTGATTGTGCAAGTTTGGACTCTTTTATTGATTGACGTGATTTTGCCTGAAGACCTTTCTATTCTCTAGTAATCTCACATTGACATTTTTTGTAGGTGGAGGAGCTTTTACGTAAACAGCGTGTGAAGGAGGCAGAAGAAAGTGAGTTTCAGGAGTTTATTCATTTGCTGAAGTCTGCCAAGAAGGCGCCTAGTCACGCCAAGCCCCCCAAATCTTTATGGCTAGCTGATGATAAAGTCCGAGATAAGTTTGGCTCACTTGAAGCTTATGCTATTGATGCATGGGCAAGCATTGACCAGCGCAAATTGGCTGGAATGGTGAGTCAGCCACATTTCTTCTTTGGTAGCATCTCTTAAGCTGTGACTACATGTGAAGTGACATATCCNAAAAAAAATTATTGTGTGGGTGTTGAAGTAAACTGTCAAATTGTTTGTAATCATATGTAATGTTGTGGTTGCTTCATGACAGATCTTAAAATCCATGGGGTTACAGAAAACAGCTGCCTCGGCACTAAACCTTCTCATAGATGTTGGATATTTTCCTGTACATGTAAATTTTGATCTGCTTAAGCTGAATCTTCCCACCCACCACTCAGAAGCAATCATTGACGCAGCTGAAGTTCTTCTTTCAGAGTCATCTGATCTTGATGCGGTGAGCACTTTGCCCTGCTTCTGGATATGTGTGTTGCATGAAATTATTTATTCTTGTGTTTGTTGTGAATCTTTGTGCCAAAGGTGAGCATTTTTGGAGATTTGGTAAAGTGTTGACATAATCGTTCTCCAAGATTCAAAATTCTTACTTGCTCAGACCTTGTTTAGGTTAGGAGGATTGATCTCACACACTTGAAGGTTTATGCAATTGATGTTGATGAGGCCGATGAGGTAAATGCTTTTTAAGTCTCCTATATTTATTCTGCAAGTCTAGGTTCGATGCTATTTTATTTAATTGTCACTAATCTATTCGATTTCTTGGAATTTCTGTAGCTTGACGATGCCCTGAGTGCAACGAGATTGCAGGATGGACGGATAAAGATCTGGATACATGTTGCTGATCCTGCAAGATATGTTACACCTGGGAGCAAAGTGGACAGGTAAGTCCGATGCGTGTCTCTGATCACTATATGAACGAATGTTTTGGTCACTCTGATTTATTAGCATGTGCTTCAGAGAGGCAAGGAGAAGGGGAACTTCTGTCTTTCTGCCTACGGCTACTTATCCAATGTTTCCCGATAAACTTGCCATGGAAGGGATGAGTTTAAGACAAGGAGAAATATGCAATGCTGTCTCTGTGTCTGTTGTCCTACGTTCTGACGGCAGGTACTCATAATCATTGCTCTTATCTGGATTTTTAATCTACCAAACACTTTGAACTAAACGAGTACCTTAAGACTCTTTGTTACAGTATTGCAGAATATTCAGTAGATAATTCAATCATCAGACCGACCTATATGTTGACTTATGAAAGTGCTTCTGAGCTGCTTCACTTGAACCTGGAAGAAGAGGTTGAACTGAAATTGCTGTCTGAGGCAACTTTCCTCCGCTCTCAATGGCGCCGTGAACAGGTTGGCTTGAGTTTTGTGTGGTCTGTCATCAAAACCTTATCATAGGAAAAACATAGTTTTGCTAATGGTTTTATCTTGGCTAAAATTCCAACCCAAAACGTTCGGTAGAGAACTTCTCTGGGCATTAATTTTTTTGCTGGATGCTATTTCTTTCTGACACTTGCCTCTTTGTGGGCTTACACAGGGTGCAGTAGACACAACTACACTAGAAACTCGTATCAAAGTAGTGAATCCTGAAGATCCAGAACCTCTGATTAATCTCTATGTGGAAAATCAGGCAGATCGGGCAATGAGACTTGTCTTTGAAATGATGATTCTTTGTGGGGAGGTTATAGCAACGTTTGGGTCTCAGCATAATATTCCATTGCCTTATAGAGGACAGCCACAGTCAAATATTGATGTATCTGCATTTGCGCATCTTCCAGAAGGACCCGTACGTTCTTCATCCATTGTCAAAGTTATGCGTGCTGCAGAAATGAATTTCAGATGTCCTGTTCGACATGGAGTGCTCGGGATTCCTGGTTACGTTCAGTTCACATCTCCCATCCGTCGATACATGGATCTTGCTGCACACTACCAGGTAAATTTTGTTCACCATCTTGTGATTCTTCTGGACAATGTCTTGCTGGATTGATCTATTTGGATATCGATGGGTTGAATCCAATACAAGTACTTGTGATTTCTGCCTTAACCTTCATTTGAACATAAACCAATTCAATAATTTGGCAAAGCGTGTTGTTTGAATTACAGATTAAGGCGTTTCTTCGAGGAGGTGACAACTTTCCGTTCTCAGCTGGTGAGTTAGAAGGTATAGCAGCATCCGTAAACATGCAAAACCGAGCGGTGAGAAAACTCTGCAACAGCGGTCTCCGCTATTGGGTAATAGAGTTCCTCAGAAGACAACAAAAGGGTAAAAAATACACAGCATTGATCTTGAGATTTGTCAAAGACCGGATCGCATCCCTATTATTGGTTGAGGTAATTGTTCAATTCACCCAAGGAAAATTCTGAGGATAAGCAGTTTATAGTTGAATTAAATCACCGGTAAAATGTTTCCAGGTGGGTTTTCAAGCAACCGCTTGGGTATCAGAAGGGAAACAAGTGGGAGATGAAGTCGAAGTTCGAGTAGTAGAGGCTCATCCCCGGGACGACATTATTCTTCTCAAAGAGGTTATTTAATGAATTAAGAACACATAGTTTCTCGGAAAAATCATCAAAATTCGGTTCTTCTCTAAGCATTGAGAGGCCTGAAACTGATAGAGAGGAAAAAGAGGTAACTCATCATCTCCACAGTCATATTCTAACTTTTGTTATTGAATACAAAGAGGCTTCTAATTCTGCATCCTAAAACTATACCATTTGAAATCGATGAATCATAGGAAACTTGCTGATGGACGCAGCAGTAGTGGCTCCAGCTCTATGATCTGCATTAAGAGATGGTAATGTGGTACGCACTTATATAGGGTTCATACAATTTTACATCATGTTGTTGTAAGTTAGTATAGGAACCTTGCTTTTGTTCGGTAGAGCAAAGAAAACAAAATAGGGAATGTGAATATCTATATTATTTCAATGTTGAATTTGATCGATCTAAAAACTAAAACAGAGCTTAAAGGCCTTGTTAAAAAGTAGTAACAATTTGATATCTCAGGATTTACAGATTGTTTTGATATAATGGACATCGAGATAACCATAATTAGACCAATAACATTTTGCGTAGACTAAACAATCAATAATAATTGATAAGTTAACCAAAACTTGCAATGCCCTTATGCAAATACTATCTCGAATCTCGATCTTATACGCTAATGATTGAACCAAATAATTTGTAGCTATTCTTCCTCCAAATATATTCCAATTTTCAACACAAAACACGACCTCAATGATTTTACATTTATAACTCAGCTTCAATATGAGGCTTTTAAAACGTATAGTCAAAGCGGATTACTGGTAAAGATAATATATTAGGGTGATAATAAACACAAAGAAAATGAATTCGTACGTTTGTTTATAAAAGTCAAAATCGTACCGAGAAGTTTAGTTGCGGTGGAAAAATAAAATGTCAAATGCTGAAAGTGTACGTCGCAGTCGATGAGAGCAAATTAAATGTGAAGCAACAAACAAGTAAAAGAATATTTTCATGTTACCATGTTCCTTACATTATGTTTTCTAACCATTAATACCCGTCACCGACTAGTTGATCATTTGATATTATACGTTAAGAATAGTTATGCATGTTATTTACAGTGGCGGAGCCAGCATGTTGGCCCACATGAATTTTTTAAAAACCATGTAATTTATATTGAATGTTTTAATTAAATTGACCCTTATCCAAAACAACTATTGACCCCTATTGATCTCGGTAAATTGTTTTCTGGTTTCGCCAGTGTCAGCATGTATCAACCTATTAAACCAAATTTTCAAAAGAAAAAAAACTTATAAAACAACTTTAACAAAAAATACTTATAAAACAAGAAAAAAGCAATTTGACGGTGTCGATTATGGGAAACACTAATTAAGTTAGTTTCTCAATGTCAAGTGGTACGGACGAAGTGAGTTCTAAGGATTTGTTTGCTTCTAATCTAAAACAACCCCAACAAATCTTAATTGCACATGCGTTTATCATTACTAATTTCTCTTGCAACTACTAGTAGTAAACGGATTAATAAGTAATTAACAAAGATCGATTAACTCACATGCATTAACAATTTATGAATTGTCGTCTAATGCCATAAATGATTAGTTCTAGGTGAACATTCTTGGAAACTGTCTCATGTACTTCTTGGATGTTTACTTAAAATAAATTTCTGACGACTATATATATATGACTTCTTGTTTAATTAGAAACGATCAATGTATAAACAACGTAATTAGAATACAACTAGTAAAATCGACAAAAACTCAACAAAAGTGTGAAAACATTTATGGTGTACGTAACGTAGTAATAAGAAATATATAAATGTGGAAGCCCTATAAGGGTAATGGCTTACGTACCTTGAGAAGTTGAGATCAATTATTTATAGAATTTAAAGAATTGCAAAATAGTGGCAATAAATGAAGCCACATGGATATAGTCGTATAATATGTTCTATAAACAATTATCATAGTATGATATCTAGATAATATGCCGAAAAAGCTATCGACGCTATCTAGAATTACTTCATAACAAGTAATGCTAGTTAGTTACGCATGTATATCATGTCATTTCATTAGAAATGATGCTAATAATATACACGAATTTTCATCGGTTGGAGAGATTCAAAACTTTGTGGTTAATGAAATAAAAATAAAAACACATTTATTCATGTGGGTTTTTTACCCACTTATACATTAGATGCATTAACTTTGTTTATACTTTATAGTATTCGATCACGTAATTATGAGTATTTATATGCATAATAAGTATGTGATATAACGTGAAGAGCAATCAGTTGAGGCCCAACTGCATCGACGTACGGCCAAGTTAAATGTGATACCGTATTTTCCGTGTACTTATACGGACACTCTCATTTATATTTCAGAAATAAAAACCATATAACATAGTATCATATTTTACTAGCAATTGAGTAAATAGTTTAAATAATTAACGATTTAATGTAAATTGTGCTCTCACTAACATGATGAAGTTAGGGAACTCACTCCCATTATCTAATATTTCTAACCATTTATCTATGTTCTATAATTCATTTTATTTTTTCAGATATAATAAAGTGAATTGGATCGGATCGGAAGGTTTGATTCACTTGTGATTTCTAATTGGCCACAATTCGTAAATTGACCAAAGAAAAATGCATGAGGCGCCCATGTGCGGACCACGTGCGTTTGCTTTCTTTTTGGCTTGTATGTACAAAAATAATTATTGTTTTACTGACTAACAATGAATAATTTAGCGAAAAGAACAAAACAATGAATAAATAATGATGCATTTTTTTGATTTTATGGTATTTTTATTGTATCAAACTATCAGCATTTTTTCCTACTTTTTATATCGATTTTAAAAAGAGAGAGAACTGATAAGTAGAGGAGACAAAGTACTTATAACTTAAGTAAGAAAAAAAATACTAATTAGTTATAATTCAAATAAATGACACTCTTTACAATAATATTAAAATCACATCCTTCATTTTAACGAAAATGTCATATTATCACCAGATTTTTTTTTTTTAAACTTAGTTAATATCGTAAGGTTGACTTTTTAAACGCAAGTAAATCATTCTTCAAATCAATGCCATTCTATAAACGAATTCTAGAACTTTTTTTTGTTTAAAATAGTGAATTCGTCATATTATCGCTTTTAGTAAATTAGTTATCAGTTAAAGTCAGTGTGACGCAGATCGCAGACCTATCCCTACGCTTCGATTCCCCAATACTTAAATGCGCCTGTAAGCCAGAGAAGCCGCCAAGTTACTCGTTTATTTGGGCCGATTATTAATCATCTATTTTACAAATTAGTACAACAAAGTAATTAATTAAGGTGAAGGAAAATAATTTAAACACAGTCTATTTTCATTCGGAAATAATTAGATAAGCGTTTGTATGCAAAGAACTCCATAATGCCTGCATATAATT